TCTCTGTGTGTGTCTGTGTCTGTGTCTCTTGCAGTATATAAGCAACACACACGGACGCTGACAAAAAAAAGAAAAGTGAGCAGACAACCAAACACAAGCAACAGACTCGACAGCGCGTGCCTTGAGCATCCCGAACAAAGCCGCGGTCTGCTGCTCGACGGTGCACAGGCAGTTTAGGTAGTCCGCCAGGGGCAACGGCTCCATGGGCGCTTGCGGCGACAGCACCTGCTCCACTCGCGCCTGCACGAAACGACACAACGTGCGCGAAGAAGAACAACACGAATAGAATGATGCATTTATCCAACATTACGTCTCACGCTCAGAACCAGCAGGACGTAGCGACAGCACCTGCCCTCACATGCGTGCCTGCACCAGTGCTTGGACGAAACCGAACGAATTACTCTCCCGCTCAACGAGGCACTCATCCCACCGAACACAAAACGAGCCATGAACCCGACAACGTTTAACCAAGCTCAAACCTCGAAACGCAAGCAGACAGCCTGGAATTGGAGCGTACCTGAACGCCGTACACGGGGTCGTTGAGGATCCTTGACAGCAGCAGACGCGTGACCTTCGCCACCAGCGGCGGCGGGAAAACCTGACCAATCACTGCAAACTGGTTCTGGCAGACCGTCACCACGCGGCGGAACAGGCCCGAGAGGGAACCCTCGGAGGCCGTCGATTGGCCCATATCTCCCCGTTGTAGCTCCTGCGCGGGAAAAGGGCAAGGGGGGGTGAGGCGCCGCCGAAAATGAGCCGCCTACACGTGCGACCGCCTTACTCCACATCCAGCTATCATAGTAACCGACACGCGATTGTAACGTAGGCCCGATGCTGAATACATCGCGTGTTCATCAGCAAGTTTTACCCGCGGCCTACCCTGCTCTCTCTCGCATTATCTCTCGGCTGGCCTCTCTCTCTCTCTCTCTCTCTCTCTCTCTCTCTCTCTCTCTCTCACTCTGTCTGTCTGTCTGTCTGTCTGTCTGTCTGTCTGTCTGTCTGTCTGTCTGTCTGTCTGTCTGTCTGTCTGTCTGTCTGTCTGTCTGTCTGTCTGTCTGTCTGTGTCTGTCTGTCTGTCTGTCTGTCTGTCTCTGTCTGTCTCTCTCTCTATTTCTCTGTCGG